TCACAGGCTGGGGCAGGGCCGTCTGTGGGCCCAGGGCTCTGCTGCCCTGTCTTATGTCCACAACCCTCCAGAGCCCAGCCTGAGCCCGGGCTGGTTAACCCGCACAGAGCACAGCGAGCCTTGCAGGGACCACACACCCTCTTGAGCCGTAGTCACTGCTCCAGCCCTGCTCCTGGAGGCTCCAGAGTTCCTGGGAGCCTGACTTTGTGTCCCCAGTGATTTATTTTGTGTCACTGCTGCATCCCCGGGCGAACCCCTGCGTGAGCACGCAGGATGTCACCAGCCACCCTGCGGAAGCCACCACCCCTGCCTCTGTGCTCCCCTCCTTCCCTGCCTGTCTTGGCTGCAGGGACAGCAGGGACATGTGTGGTTCCCAGAGCGGCCTGGCCCATGCCCCTCCACTGGCCTGGCATTGCCCTATCCAGCAGCGGGTGCAGCCTAGCCCCGAGGACCACTGCTCCCAGGGCAGCACAGGGGCCTCCCAAGGGCAAGAGCTTGGGCCGGATGGTGCAAGGCCGAGTTCCCGTGCAGACTGGTACTCACATACAGACCACAAGCACAGGCCTGAGACATGCACACTGGGACATGCACAGGGACACGGAGGCACACAGACCTGCAGTGACACAGGTAGGCACACCTCAGAGGCAGACACAGAGATGCTGACCCAGAGACGCACACACATGGAAACACATTCCCAAACGCACATGCGTGCGCGCACACACACTCTTTACAGCCAGTGTGGACAGAGAGGGAGCCCTCATACGAGCTGTCACAGAGAGGCTCTCCCTGGTGGATCCACTCCGTGGCTCCGCAGGACTCTGGGGCTGCTTGATCTGGGGTTTCCTGCGCTCCTGGGGCCTGATGCCCATGTGGGTGCTCCGGGTGATGTGTGAGTGGTGTCGGCCAGGTACGGCTCCAGCAGGACGACCACCATTGCACCCTCCTCACAGCACAGCAGCCCCAAGTCCACCCCGCACCCTCACCAGGCAAGTGGCTCTGCAGGGGAGGTGGTGGAGAGGACAAAGGTCTGCACGAGCCCCCGGAAGTCTTGGGTGAGCACAGCCTGCAGGTGCTGCCCCAGGGCGGCACCCACTTCTCCTCTCGAGGCCCCAAGACACCAGCTAGGCCCTCCTGTGTCCTTCAGTGTCCTCAATGAGAGGGGCAGGGCCCTTCATCCCCTGAACAAGGCCACACCTGCAGGGGGACAGGGTGCTCCAGATGGGGTCAGAGGCTCACAATGGGGACTGTCCCATCGGCCACACTCTGCTCAGGCCCAGGGCTTGACTTTGGGCGGGGAGCCCCACTCCCTGGGTAGGGAGAGCCCCTGTTCATTATCTTCTCTGCACCCAGCTTCCTTGCCCTCTTCAGAGGCTGAGGTTGCACCTCAGCAATCCTGTTGTCCCTGACCTTGACGTCAGTCACCAGAGTCCTACAGGAAAGTCTCCCTGTGGCCCCTGGGTCAGTGCGACTTTCCTCCACACTCACCTCTCAGCAGAGGACACTGCTCCCTCCTCAGGTCACTGTTCCCAGGACAGCTGGCTGTGAATGCTGAGCACACCCATCTGGGGGAGCAGGTCCACCCAGCCGCCCACGGCTGTCGGAGAAGCAAGTGCCCTCCTATGGCGCCGGAGCAGGGGTGAACCAGCTGACCTTCACAGAGCAAACAGATGCAGCCATTATTTCAGAGTACTTTACTGGGCACAGCAGGAAGAAATAAAGTACATTTAGCATGTGGGATTCCCTTAAAGAAGCTGACCTTCAACAGAGACCAGCCAGCTGCAGAGGGCCAGTGGGGACTCCCGGGCCACTGAGCCGAGATGGGCGCTCTGGGACCCACAAGAGGACCAAGCTGCACTGTGACCAGCAGCCCACAGGCTCTGCAGACCTCACCCGGGGCCAAGACGCAGGAGGCAGCTCTGTCTGAAGCAGCACTGAGCACCGTGAGAGGCCTGAGCAGGAAACAGCTCCACAAGCAGCACCGGGCAGTGCAGCGCCTGCCTGCGTGCAACTGGAGCCCGAGGCCCCGGGCTCACCTCGCGCTGCGCCCCCAAGCTGGGAGGAGCTGGAGGAGCCGAGAGCAATGGGGCCCTTCCTGGGGCTGCACGCGTGCGCAGGGTGGGGAGCCGCGGGTGAGCAGGCAAGGGGTACGCCACGCTGCATGGCAGCCAGGGCAGCTCCCCCAGCAGCAGGACAGGTGCGGGGCTGTCCTGCCCCACGAGTCCTGTGCTGAGCCGGCCTGCTCCATCATCCCTGAACTCTGACTGGCTCCTCCTCTCTTCACACCCTGGCTCTGTGCTGTGGGACTCCCTGCCTCTGGCCTCTGATGGAGCACAGTGGCCAGGGACCCAAGGATGGGTCTGAGGAGCCAGCACCCCTGCCAGCCCGGCTTCTGCCCAGTGACCCCCAGGCTGAGTGGGCCCTCTCTAGCCACACAGCCCTGCTGGGGACACACAGTCCACCATCGGCTGGGGTCAGCAGGGGGCGCCTTCCCAGCTGCCCTGCAGGAGGTGATGGCTGTGGCCGCCTCTTCCTGGGCCAGGTACCCAGGCACCCAGATCTCAGCTCTGCACACCCGTGGGGCACACAGCCAAGATGCAGCTGGCCACATGCCTGTCTTCCCATGCAGACTGAGCCAAGGACAAGGTGACACACATGGCCTCACAGGGGATCTGGACCACAGGGCAGGACAGGAGGAGCAGGCCGGAGGGGAGGTGGGGCCCAGTGTCCCCGGCCACAGTGCTGTCACCATTTTGGCCACATTCTGAGGGACGTGTTGGGCATGACCATGGGGACTCCAGGACCGGGGTCACAGCCACACTGGTACTCCTTGTGACCGGGTTCCCTAAGAAAGGCCCTGGGCACTTGAAGGTGGGCACTTGTGGGTGATGGCAAAAGTGAGCGTGAGTGTGTGAGTGCACTCTCTCTCTCCCTCTCTCTCTGTCCCTCTCTCCCTCTCTCTCTGTCCCTCCCTCTCCTCTCTCTCTCTCTCTCTCTCTCTCTCTCTCTCTCTCTCTCTCTCTCTCTCACACACACACACACACACAGCCACCCGCAGGGGATTCACACGCATCGTCATATTCACACGCATGCATCTACCTTCACGCACGCACTTCTCACACTAGCACACGTGCATAGTGCAGAGCACGTTCCCTGGACACACCGCATGCTCTCCACCCGGCCCCCAGAACGGGTGCTGCTCGCTGCCTTGCCCTCACCGCCATGGGCGTCCTCTGCACAGAGCCCTTCCGTGGTGCGCGCAGGCTGCTTAGGAAAGCTGCAGAGGGCACCTCCGGGCAGAAGAAGGACGGCAGACTGCCGGGAACTCTCGCCCTGGCTCTCACTCTAGATAGGCAGGTGTGTCCCTCAACAGGTGCGGTCACCTGCTCACCTGGCAAGACGACACTCACGGGATCCCCACTTGGGATGGGACAGCCGAGGCTCAGAGAAGCAAGTCGTTTTGCGCCAGCCCACAGCGCAGCAGGCGGGCGGGCACTGCGGTGGGGTCCACTGCTCAGAGGGCAAGTGGCGCGCAGGCGCCCGGCGTGTGGCACACGGCGATGTGGGCGTGCCCCGCCTTCCTATGCCCAGGGCCCTGTCTCCAGAAAACCTGCCTGGCCTCCACCCTGGCTGTTCTGCAGCCGGGACCTAGGCTCAGGGAGGGAGTGTGGCTCACCTCAGTCCACCCAGGAAACTACAGTGGCTTCTGCAGGACCCAAGCAACTCCACGTGGCACGGGTCCACACCACGGTCCACGTGGAGGGAAGGAAGCCGAGTCCTTCCCACCGGACAGCAGAGCCGGCCTCCAGCCGCTGGCGGCCCTGGCGCCTGGTGGTAGGGAGGGCTCACCTGGCCTGCGGTGCCCCAGGAGGGTGACGGCTGAGGACCACAGGTCTGAGCCGTGAGCTGTGAGGCCAGGACAGCGCACCCTGCCCCTCACCATGGGGAGCGCGTGGCCAGCCCAGCCACCCCTGGGGCAGCGCAGGTTCCCATCACAGGAGCGGCGCCGCGTTCCCCTGGCCAGCCCTGTGCACTGGTGGGGGCCTGGCTTCCTCTGCACCCAAGATCAGGTCCTGCGGCTGGTAGGTCCACGTCTGTCCTGAGGTAGGAGGAGAGCCTCCCGCCCACCCTACCTGACATGTCCTGACTGCTGAGGTGGACTTCCACGGAGGCTGGAGCACTGGGCCCCATGTGGGCACACAGGCCACACCTGGGCTCCCAAGGCAGTGACAACCAAGCTTGTGTTGCCCTGCTGCGGGTGTTGTCTACCTGCCCCCACTGCCAAGGCCAGCAAGGTCTCTGATATCAACTGCAGGCCACCCGATGGCCACAGCCCACGCACAGGCCACCAATGGTCCAGGTCAATACCTCTCAAGAGCAGCTGGAATGTGACAGGTTTGACCCCAAGCAGGTGGCCACAGGTGGGGACACTGACAGCACGAAGCCCTGGACCTCAAGGTCTGTTCTCTGGAGACCCCTGGGAAGGGCTCCCTTAGACTTGGTCTCCCCTGGGGATCCCGGGCCATGTCCTGAGCTGTGTGGCCTGCTCACCCCTCAGGTCAGGTGGGAAGCAGGGCATCCGTCCTCCCTCAGGCTTCCTGGCCGCAGGCGAGAAATGCGGGGGAAGTGGTGCTCTCTTCATAGCTGAAGCGCTCAGCTCTCGGCCTCTGTGTGTGGCCTGGGGCTCACACGGTTTGTGGGTACCCCGACCCTGTCCACTCGCTGGGCAGGATTGGGGGCCACCCCCACGGCTCCAGGAGAACCCATGCTTGCAGCCGGGCACTGCCCTGCACTTGGAGGGATCTTTGTGGCCGGGCCACTCCAAGCCTGGGCGTCTGCACCACCTCCTGTCCCCTCCAGCCACTCCGGCTGTGGCCCTCTCCCAGGATGCCACGGCCAGGGAACAAAAGCCATATGCTTATCAAAGGATTTTTTTCTTTATTTTCATAATTTAGCTGAATCAACACAAAATTGAATACTGTAAAACAAAGAAAAAACTATGCTGTCACATCTGAAATCTCCCGGTCTCTCCCCCCGGAGTGAACGCCTACACTTGCTTTCAGAGGAATCTGAGGGGGAGGCTGTGGGGCGCTGGCAGGAGGACGTGAGGGGCCCTCGTATCCCGCCCCGGAGCAGGAGGGAGACCAGCCGGCGGAGGGGGTTGCAGGGCAGTGTGCTTCGGGTCCCACTCCGTGGGGGACCCATGCCCCCGCCCTTCTGTCCGGCACGAATCGCGTCACTCACTGTGCGGCTGCCAAGGGGAAGCAGGATTAGAGCCATGAGGCCAGGCCTTGGGCAAGTGGGCCCTTCTCTCCCATCTTTAGTCCACGTTGCTGGGACAGCATCTAGGTACTGCAGTTATATGGTTTTTTTTTTACTTTTTCATTAGCATAGATCTGGCATAATACTCGTGTTAATTGGACTCGTAGGTAGTATACTTTAGCAGAAGTCAGGAAAATAAAGGAAAGGAAGCGGGGGCTCTCGGCAGGGCAGGTGGGCATCCCTGCCCCTTGCCCTCCGCCAGCCCCGCTGCCAGCCCCACCGGGCAGGAGCACTCGGAGGATGGTGTCTTGGGCCCATGCCACCGCCCACCCTGCCTCCGTGATGTCCCCTGCGGACACTCTGGGCTGAGGGGACAGCACTGTAGAAGGAGGAACCGAGCACACATGGGCCTCGAGACCTATGGGTGGTACAGGGGAGAAAGAGAAGCTTCTGCAACAGGCCTGACCACCACTGCCCGAGCCACAGACCAAGGGCTTCAGCCACCAACCCAAACCAAGCAGAGAAGCCCGGTCTCCGGGCGCTGGCCGGGGGCCGACAGGGCTCGGGCCCATGGCCCTCAGCTGCCTCCTGGAGTCCTGCCCTGCCTGCCTGGCCCTGGGCCCCATGCAGCCCACCCCACAGTGTCTCTGGGAACCGCAGGGCCGGGCCCCAAAGCAGGGGATGACCAGGGGACGACCAGGCTGCCACATTAATGGTTAAATAGGATTTTCTACAAATATACAACATATAAAAACTGTTAAATATATAACTTTAGGCTTTGCAAAATACATTTAATGATCTCTTTCAAACAAGTGTTACTTCAGTTTCCTTTAATTTGCTTTCTGGAGCTAAATGGCGTATCGGATGAGACAGCAGTCACGGGAGACCAACATGCTCTTGGCGAATACTGGATTATCCAACTATCAGACATGGAGCTGAAGAAGAGGCATGTTTAAGTGGTTAAAACAGAAAGTGATTTTAGTACGATCGAGTCGGTCTAAGCATGGAGAAGGAGTGGGTCCGTGTCCCCCAGGGTCCACGCCGTCCGCGTGGCGGCTGTCCCCGGCTGTGTCCCCGCTGGGTCCCGCAGGGTTGCCGTGGCGCTGTCCTCCTCCACTCGCCATCCTCCTGGGTGTGACTCCGCATGTGAGGCAGGGCCTCAGTCGTGGGCACCCCGTCCTCTCCAAGGCAGCCTCGGCCCGTGCCCTCCCACCCACGCTGTCCCAGGACTCAGACAGTAGGGGTGCGTCCACGTTAAAATAGATTTTGCTCTTTGGTCTATTGAGTATACTGAAAGTATAAGAAAATAAAAGTGATTCAGACAGTCTGGGGCCCAAGAGGTGGCGACTCCAGCGCCCGACACTCCTGGAAGGTGTCCTGGCTCAGCTGGCGGGACGGCAGCTTCCTCCTGGTCCTTGTTCTCCTGCGCCAAGGTCAGCGCGACTGCTGCAGGTGGGGCGCGGCTGGGCGCCCCGGGCCGCAGACCACTGATGCCCTGTGCCGCCCTCACCTGTGTGTCCAAGTCCCAGTCTCCTGGGTTCAGCCAGAGAGACCAGGGCGCTGAGTGCCAGGAACGAGGCCGTCAGGACCAGGCCGTAGGAGCCGGCAGGCAGGTGTGGAGCTCGGTGACATCCACAGAGGAGGATGACCTTGGCCGAGGTGCGGGCTCTCCAGGGAGCCGAGACCACTGCTGGGCCCGCGGGGGCTGCGTGTGTCAGGAGACCTGGGAGACAATGAGAAGAGTGTTAGCCTCACGGGCACCCGGGCCGGGCTGGATGGGGACAAATTCCCCAAGTAGGGACAGCGCCTGGAAACCGCCCAGCCAGCTCACACCAGGAGGACAGGGCCCCTGCACCTGAATGGGACGTGGAGGGAGGCCCCATGTGGCGTGGGGGGAGTCCAGGCCTGCCCTGCTTCCTGAGGTGCCAGCCTTGTACAGCGGTTTCCCCAGACAGCTCAGAGAGCCCAAGAAATGTGCCCGAGAGCCAGCACCACCTTCATTTGGGGCCACCAGAACCACCTGGTGAAGGGGCGCAGGTGCCAGGCAGACCCCCCGGGGAGCCCTGGACCCCATCCCTTGGCCCGGGACCATCATGGTCGTGAGCTGGTTGGTTCACTCGTGGTCCCTAGAGCAGCCACCATGGTCCTGGCAGGCTGTGAGAGTGGGCAGGGACAAAGGGTGGACCCTGTGGTCCAGACCTCAGTTATGAGCCGCAGGCGCACGCTGGGTCCCACCCACACCAAGCAGGCCAGATCATGTTGGAAGTGGCTTGTTAGGGACGTGGCTGGACTGGGTGGGGGGCTCTCTGAGGCGCCCTGAAACAACTGAAGCTGTAACCTTGCTGTTCCTTAATCTGCCCTGGCCCCGGCGTGGAGCCACGGCCCTTGACCATCTAGACGTGAGCCCTCAGGAGGTCTCAGGGCCGTGTGCTGCAGGCTCCCACACTCCCCAGCTCCCCAGCTCCAGAGCTGCCCTGGATCCCAGCCCCAGCCCAGTTCCAGGTGCTCTCAGCGTCCCGGGGCTTCTCTGTGGCAAGGGTTCTGTACTGGCCCAGCCACCTCCTTCACCACTCCCTGCCTCTGGTGGGCTGGCTAGACATGGCCACTCCTTCAGAAGCCACCCAAGCTCTCCAGCTGCCCACTGCCCCAGTGCTTGCACCCCAGAGCAGGCCACTTGCTGGAGATGGTGGGTCTCAAGGGCCACGCAGGCAGGGGCCTGCACACACCACTTGGATGCTGGCCACGCCACACCACTCTGTCACAGCCTCCCCAATTCAGCCATCCACACAGGCACGCGCAGAGCACTGCCACACAGCAGCCTTCGGCCTCATGGCTCTGCAGGCAGAGGTCTGGCTCAGGCATGGAGCACCTCCAGGGCTCTCTGAGCTCTGGTGGCCACAGCCACCTGCACCTCCACGACTGGAAGCTGCAGCCCCAGGTGGCCTTCTCCCTGGGTCTCTGTCCCTCTGGCTCTTGGGCTCTGTCTCTCTTTGAGAGCCTTCACAGAATGACATCTACAGACACCTCATTTCACATAAGTCCCCCTACAGATCTGGTGGACATAATGTCCTTGGGGACCACTACCCAGCCCACTGTGGGCCTGTCCAGCTTTTCTTCCCTCAACCCTGGAGTGGCTCATACTGTCCCATATGCCCCTGTCCTTAGCCACCTGCCCGAGTCTGATCTCTGGATGTCCCCCCACCTCTCTGGCTCGGCCCGGAGACCCAGGTCAGTGTTGCCAGCATCCCTGTCCCACTCCCAGGCTGTACTGCCCTCCGGGTGGGCACAGTCTCCTCGCGCCTGTGCCCACAGGGCTTCTTGAGTTCCTGATTTGTCTTTAGTCCACAGAATTTCAGAACCGGTCCTCCGCAGAAACACTGACAGATGCAGAAGTAAGCACACAGAGTTCTCAGGTGAGGGCCAGACTCCACATCCCGTCTGCATGCTGGGCAGCAGCTGTTCCTGGTGACCAGCGGTGGGATGATGAGCCGGCCTCCCTGTGCTGGGGTGGGACAGCCTATGCCTGGCACCCTGGCAGTGGCTGTCTTGGGCTTTTGCTGTGGGTGAGCAGGGCCTGGCAACACAGGCCTTGGCATTGAGGGTGCCGGTCAGCAGGTACAGTCTGCCCAGGCTGACAGTCTTGTCTAACTGGACAGCAGTGTTCCGCTGTGGTTCTCTCGTGTGTGTGCGCGTGTGTGTGTGCGTGTGTGTGTGCGTGCGTGTGTGTGCATGTGCGTGTGTGTGCGTGTGTACGTGTGTAAGAGAAGCCAAATGATTTTCCAGCGCCGCTCCTAGCCACTTGTGCATGGCTCCTGCTCTGTCGATGTCTGTCTCCCTGAGGTGGCTGAGCAGGCACCCTGCATGCGCCTGAGCACGGCTTGTGGTAGCCTGTAGGCCACTGTCCCATGTGGCCCACCTCTGGTGTTTGCCCACACAGATGACAGGATGTGGTGAGTGACTCACTGGCTTTCCCCACTGTGGACAGTCACTCAACGTGTGTGTCCCGGTCATCTCCCACGGAGCCTGCGTCCACCTGGAATGTCTCATGGTCTACGGATACACAGGAGAGGCGAAGGGTCCTCTGCAGAGGCTCTTCCCTGGGGACAGCCTGGGGGACAGCCGGTGGCAGCTGCCACCTGGTGGGGACGGCCACCCCGATGTGGGCCCAGTACAGCCCCACTCTTGGCTGTGTGTGGATCTGGGATGAGCAGGGTGGCCCTGGGGAGGTTCCTGCACTTTCCACCCAACCTGAACATAGGGTCACAGGCTTCAGGGGCCACCCATGCATGCCCCTGGGTGCAGACCCCAGCCAGAGCTGCTGTCTGTGGGCCAGGACAGAGCGATGGCCTCAGAGCCCTCGTCCCAACAAATGGGCACTTTTGGGGTGTCCACAGAGCAGCAGCGGGCACAGCATCCTTAGGAGTGGGAGCCCCATGAGTTCTGGGTTGCAACCTCCTACCCCAGCACTGTCTAGGGGGGTGGTTCTAGACAGCACTGTCTGATATGCTCAGAAACCTTCTTGGCTGTGAAGGATTTCCAGGGCCACCTGGCAGGTGGAGGCCACAGGAGCCAAAGACAGGAGTGACCCTGGCTGTGTCTCACAGCTCCTTGTGTCACTCGCCATCAGACACTGTGGCACTGGAATATGGAGCCCACTGGCTTTGGTCCATGAGCACCAGCCTGTGTCTACCCAGGCTTCAGGGCTGCTCCCTCCCTCCCCTGCAAGCCTGGACCTCAGCTGCCCTGGAACACGCTGTTCACCCGGCCTCTTGCCCTCCTCCACGGTGCCTCTGCCCTCTCACTCCCAGGTGTCGCGCGGGCGGGGGGGGGGGAGGCCATCAGGCACATAGGGAGTAACCCGGATCCCAGCCACCTGGTAGCCAGCTAAGCCCAGGGCGAGGGGTCAGTGGGCTCTCGGTTTGTCTTGTCAGGCTGGCCAGCACCGGATGTCCCACCCAGCTGGACAGAGAGGCCACCTTTAGCCAGGCTGCGTGGGGACAGGCACAGTGCAGCTGGTGTCCTCCTGTGGGTCACGAGGCAAGAGGACCAGAGCTGCACAGAGGGTGGGCAGCACCAGCCAGCAGGGAGGGGTACACTGGGAGCACTCATGTTGAGACCCTGGAGTCCCCAGATGAGAGACAAGCAGAGGTCCTCCTTCCTTAATCTGGGGTGTTGGGTATTTCATCCCAACAAAGAGTAAAAAGTAACTGAGACACCCTGCTAAGGGGACAACAGCGTCCCCTGTACCTGGTGTGGCAGGGCATCGCACGAGTGCCCTGCCCTTGTTAGACGCCCTTGTTAGTCTCCCTTGTTAGACGCCCTGTGACCCTGAGGTCAGCTCCACTGAGGTACACACGTGGTACCAAACGCCAGCCACACCCAGCAGGGCAGTTGAGCACCGTCCTCCCAGGCAGCGTGTCGGGTGTGAGGCCGGAAGTGCCACTCCAGGAAAAGATCAACCCAAGGCGGGAGCCTGGGGGGCCTTCGCAGTGGTCACTGTCTCTGGCGATCTGAGTCCCTCTCTGGTTGGTCCTGGGGACGTGCAGGCCACTCCTGAGTGGACTCTGAAGTCAGTGCACCGGTCAGGCTGGGCTGATTGTGCTTCAGGGACCTGCTGGGAAGGCGCAGGACGCCAGCCCACACTGTGCAGAGGTGCGGGGACCTCCACGCCTCCCCTGGCTCTGCTCTGCACTAGCTCAGCTCCTTTGCCTGCACTCCCAGGGACAGCATGCGGCCAGCTCCAGCTTCTCTGGATCCACCCTCCCGGGGAGGGAAGAGGCACCACGGACACCACGCTCCGGCCAAGTCCAGGGCTGTGATGGCACAGGGCTGCACCACCTTCTCCCAGATCCTGCCCGCAAGGACCATGCTGGGCAGGAGGGACTTCTGCTGCCGGGCAGCGTCTCTGTCCAAGAGCAGACGTCTGCCAATACAAAAAGCGGATCTACCTCCAGGGCCTCTGCTCCCCACGTGTACGCTGAAGGTGGAGCCCTGAAACACAGGAATGTGTGCTTCGCATGGTGCCCGGTGCCGGGGGGCCCTGTGGACACATGGGTGGCCCTCCTCGTGGTGCCCCACGACCAGGGCAGTCTCAGCCAGACAGGTCCGCTTTATACCGTGAGATCGTGTTCCGGCGTGCTGAGCCCCTGCCTGAAGAGTCCTTGCAGACCTGGCACAGTGGCCTGAGAACACTCACTAGTGGACCCTCTGGGGGCCCATCGTGCGCGCTGGCCCCGGGAGAACTGAGCACACCATGTCAAGGCTCACAAAGCCTGAGGTCTGCGGCACGCGGGTGTGCGCAGGGGCAGCAGGTGCGCTCGGGATGCCCCTCTTCAACGACCAGGGCTCTGTCTTCAGGGGAACCCACGTGGAACACGCAGGTGTGTTTCCTCAAGGCCCAGCATCAAGAAGCTGGGTATGGGTGGGGTCTGGACAACACTGGGCTTCAAACCTGGCTACACCTTGCGGTCCATGCTTAGCGTGGCCCAGGGGCGGCAGCGGGGGTTGGGCACCTCCAGGGGTGAGCCCTGTGCCTGCGCCTGCTCCTGCCCCGGCTCCACATGCATCTTCTCAAGACAACTCTGCCCATGGCTGGCCTCAAGCCGGGGCCAATGGGCACAGAGGTAAACAGCAGTCCCACTCTCATGCGCGAATCAGCAGCCCTCCTGGCACACAGGGCTCCCAAGAAGGCATGGGGCCTAAGAGGTGTCACAGGGCAGCCCC